TTAAATGAAGTACACGGTTGCTCTCTGGTGCTAACTAGTTGTACTCTATTTCACATTTATACTTTGAATGGGGTACATCGTTGTACTCTGGTCATAGCTGCTAACTAGCTGTATGACCTTGAATACATTTCTTAGCTAACTAGAGGTTTGATTTTCTCATACAAAATATGTTTATTATCTGTCCTGGGTTGTAAGGTTCAAGTGATAAGTGGATATAAAAGTCCTTAGAAATACAGTATGACATTTATTATTCCAGGACTAATTTTCATATTGCTATAATAAAGGGCTTGTTCTAGATTACCATACGGTATCTTCTGTCTCTAAAAATCTTTGAATCTTCATAAATATCATGGTATAAGACAGCATGATCTATTTAGAGGTGCTTTTCTTTAAAAACCTGTTTCACTTACTTTTGAAGCACTATGTGCTGCCAAATTGTGTTCTTAAATGTTTTAAAAAGTATGATAATAAAGCAAACCTATTTCATAATAGAACTCAAAGTTGAGAAAATATGAACAAACTTTCAAAAGGGCAGCAAAGGTTAAAACCTTTAAAATTATAATCAAGGGAACAGAGGCTTGTTGTATAAAATAATCTATCTTGAATTTTTGATGGAGATGACAGTGACTTGTTGCCTAACCTACAGAAGTAAATGCAGTTGACATATGGCAAAAAGAAAAAATTTCTAAAGCATTTTGAGATTCCCAACAAAAGCACCACTTATGTTTTCATGTTAAGAAACATACATGTCATAAACTGGTAACCCTTAAATATTTTGTTGGTTTACAGGTATTTAAAAAGTATTTGAGCCGATGTTTAAAAATCAGGAAATTTCACGAAAAATCCAAATTTTAGCTCCACTTGACAAATCTGGCAACATCAAGCCCACATTTCAATATGGCAAAATTTGGCTAGGGCTGGGAAGTGATGCTTCACTTAGGTAAGCACATGCTCTGGAATTCTCCAGTCCTTCCTACTGCCTATTGTTTCCTCTTACTACTTGCCCATCCATTGTACGCATTTGACTTTGTAACTACAGTATAACACAGAGCCACTGTGAACCTATGCCAAGCTAATTTTATTAATGGGCATTGAGATACAAAAATACAATCTCTGGGAACTGAAGGAGTAGTCAGGAGCAATCATGGCCATGGACCGTAAAGGATACTTTATGTAAAGAATATTTTTCTTCTGTGAATATTTATTAAGTTGGGTTCCTTAAAGTAAATTCAACCTGCCTACTGTGGGGGTTCTGAGTGGGGGTGGTGACAATGGTAGAATAACAAAATTTTTATCTTTTGTCTTATCCAAGACTTGTGGTTAACCGATAGGTGAATTTTCAAAAACATACTAGATTTCTGAATGTAAATATAAGAAAAAGGTGAAAAGGGGAGCCTAGAAAGAATGCATTTTTCAGCAAACATAAAGTAGTAATACTCACTCAAGCAACTGCCCACATGCTAGCAGAATGCTTAATTTGGATTGATAATGTTTATCTGGAGATGCCAAGTAACATCATATGTCATATACTGGAGACTACAGTAGATTCTACTGTTTTGCTATCTGGCATCTGCTGGTAGAAAAATGTTCCAACATGTTCGATTTAGCTAATTAATTCAAGCTCATGTGAATAAAATGTGTGGTGTCTAGCTTCTGAAATGTGCCTAGGCCTAAGAACGGGAATTCTTCTTGGGTGAACTTGGATGATGCCACTGGCTCTGGGAAAATCCAGTGGCAGACACTACTATTAAGTTAGTAATGATACATCCTACTCACGTAAAATGTCTTTTTCTAATAACCCTTCCTATTTCAAAATTCAATACTAGACAGTGGTCCTAAAAATGTTAGCTATTAACCTTTTAAAAAAGTATTTGCTCACACCTGAGATATTTAGTTAGCTATTTCAACAGTGTGCAAGGAAAGAGAAAAGTTGTTTGATACTCTACAGAGTGCTTCTCAAAGCCCAGTCCCCAAATCATCTGCATCAAAACTCCCTGTACAATTATTAAAAATACAGATTTTTCTGGAGCTCTCCAGAAATCAGAATTGCTGAATCAGAATACTTTTTCTTTCTTTTTTTTTTAGACAGGATCTCACTCTGTTGCTCAGGTTAGAGTGCAGTCATGTGATCATGGCTCACCACAGCCTTGACCTTCTGGGCTCAAGTGATCCTCCAGCCTCAGCCTCCCAAGTAGCTGTGACTACAGGCACATGCCACCCTGCCCGGCTAATATTTTGTATTTTTTGAGACAGGGTGGTCTCAAACTCCTGGGCTCAAGTGATCTGCCCACCTGAGCTTCCCAAATTGTTAGGATTACAGGCATGATCCATGGCAGCTGGACCCTAACTTTTAATCAAGTCCCCCACATTAAACTTAAGAGAACTACTGCCATAGATTCATTCCTTCACTCACTAGTCAATGTCAATATGTGCCCGAATTCAATACGTCCCCTAACTGGACTGCTTTAGAAGTTATTAACTACCATACACTGACTGCACTCCATGTGCTATATAAACTGAGGTAAAGCACTTCATATATATTTGAATTAATTCTGTACAACAATCCCTAACGGTTTTAAGGCTCTTTTTTAAAAATGTTACTTATTTTTTTCTTTTTCGAGACAGGGTCTTGCTCTGTTGCCCAGGCTGGAGTGCAGTGCCGTGATCTTGGCTCGCTGCAACCTCTGCCTCCCAAGCTCAAGCGTTTCTGATGCCTCAGCCTCTTGAGTAGCTGGGACTACAGGTGTGTGAGACCAAACCCGGCCAATTTCTGCATTTTTAGTAGAGACAGGGTTTTGCCATGTTAGCCAGGCTGGTCTCAAACTCCAGGCTTCAAGTGATACACCTGCCTCAGCATCCCAAAGTGCTGGGATTATAGGTGTGAGCCACACCTGGCAAGGTGCCGTTTAATAGATAATAGAGTGAGTAGACTGTCCAAGGTCATCCAGTTATTGAATAGTCTTATTCCTGAAACCCAGGTCTGATGCTAAAACCTGTGATCTTAATTGGTATATTATTTTGCCTCACTTAAATCTGGAGTATTCCCACACAAGCAAATTCCCTTCTACACAAAGGAAGCAACTAACGGAACGCATTACGTAATTTTCAATATGATGGCTAAAAACATTCTATACCAATCTAAGAGATTCTGTCCTCCCAGAGCATTTTCTTCCGCTCCCTTATGTGCAGTTTTTTCCTTTCACTTATCTTTCATGATCAAATATAAGTCTAGACTAGGAGTATATGAGGTTGGCAGTCTTGAGAATTTTCCTTTTGTGATTATGAAGTAAATTCCACAAACACTTATCTATCCATTAGACAGAGGATGTATCTAATGTACTAAGTGTTAAGTATAATCTTGATTTTGTAATTTTTAATAGGCTCTGCTTAATGCTACCAAAAAGCTATCACAAAAACACCAGGACCAATTAAGACTTGCATGAGAATTTCAGTGAGAAAAATAACAATGCCTAAATTGGAATGTGACCAGATGGCCAACAGTTGCCTTGGTATTTGCTTTGATAACATCAAGATTCATCTGTATTTGAATAGCAGGGCCCACACATCTTTCAACAATGTCTGCAGGGTGCCAGGAGTTGAAACTCATAAACTATGCTGACATCAGTACACTTTACTGCAGAAATACATTGCATCAGCTCCAAGAATAAGCAAAGTAGCAGCAACACTTTATTAAAGGTAGTCAGTCTATGTTGCCAACCCAAGGCACTAACACATACTCTATACACACATGATTAAATGCTACCCTCCTCTTTGTAGGACACCGGAGAGGGGTAAGCATGCTGAGAAGTGAGATGGATTTAACCAGCAAATCATGGAAAAGGTGCGTATACTTGGCGTTTGAGAAGGCTTAGTCATGACTGGAAAAGTATGAACACTGTGACATATCCTTGCAAAAAAAAAAAATGTTCAACTTAAGCCTCTAGACTAATTTCTGGTTTACAAGAAGAAAAAAGGGGGGCTTATTTCCAAAAAGACTCCTGGCTTGAACTCTTCAAAATGCCAATGTCACAGGGGGAAAAAGATGGGGGAACTCCACTACATTAAAGCTGAAGAAAAATTTTGACTGGATCCTGATTTCTTTTTTTTGCAAGAATGGGAAGGAGAAGGTATAAAGGATATTCCTGGGTAAATTAGGAAAATTAGCACTTGGGCTAGATTTTAAACATTACAAAACAGCTGTAATAATGATATTGTGTTTTGCTAGAGAACTTCAAAATTCTCAGGAAATTCATGCTCAAAGTCTTAAGGGTGTCTGCCTAACAATAAGTGTCTGCAACTTTTTACAACAATGAAAAAATGAGGAGGAATGAAAAAAATATGGCAAAATGTTAACTGCTGCATCTAGATGACGGGTATATGAATATTCATTAAATTATTTAATTCTTTCAGCTTTTAAATATATGAACACTTTCATAATAAAACATTGGGGAAAAAAATCATGTCAGAAAGACTTTACAGGGGAAACGTAAAAAAAGGCTGAGTAGCAGGCGCTCAGCTGAATTTCTGATAAATTGAAGATCTCTAAAACTTGGCTGGAACTGTCTTGGGCATCCAAGAGACACCCGAGATATTCAAACTTTCAGTAAGTATTTACCAAAATAATATCATGTGCAGGGCGAAAATGACAGGAAGACGAATCTGATACAAACCATTCTATTTAGGTGCAGACATGGTAGTGAAGTTAAAAACATAAGCGGCTATTGTATATATAAAACATACTGATTGTCATAAAAGACGTGCAAAAAATGCTAAACTCAGAGGAATTACTTTCTGCTGGGGAGAATCTGGAAACACATCTCCACGAATAACAGAATCAGACAGAATCACAAAAGGTGAGTGCTACAACAGATTTCAGTAATTAACCCCCAAGAAACAAGAGTAGTTCATTTTGGCTGGCGTGTAAGTACCAGGGAAGTAGAAATTAAGTCGAGAAGGTAGGTTTTGTTGACTGGCTGGATATTAACAATTTTCAATTTTACCTGAAAGTTCTGGTCTTTTTGCTGCAGCTTTAAGCATCCAACCCGGTATTACCAAGATGACTGAGAGTTCTTGACTCAAGCATACAGAAGAAACTACAAGATAATGTATGATAACTTTGTAAAGGGCCATATTAAAGCAATACACCATTTTCAAAAATATTCAACACGTTAAGAATCTGTAGACCTGCAGGATTAGGATAGTATATCCCACCACAAGAACCGCAGTCAAAGCTTACAAAGACTCAAAGGACAAACGCGGAAAGGGGGGAAAACTCAGAATGAGAATGCAGGTGGCAGGGGAAAAAGATAGAGGTCTTGCCCTGATTGTAGGGGCTCATCTTTTTCTTTTATAGCTGAAGGTGGAAAATTATTTTCTCAAGTTCCCGAATTCTCTTCCCTCTAAAGGCCAGAGAGTGAAAGTACTTAATAGGAACTTGCGGAGGCGTGGTTAGGAGCTCCGCCCGAGGTCCGCGCCCATTCCCCGCTGGGGCCCTCCCAGCCAGGCTGGCTCTGGCTGGGCTAGGGCGGCCTGTAGCGCTGCCTCACCCCACAGGGAGCCTCAGGGGGGCGGAGGGAGGGCGGGCCGCCGCTAGGCCAGCCCGGAAAGAAAATCAGCTTCTAACGGAAGGGGCCCTGAGCCCCGCTCTCCATTTCAGCGCTCCGTCCCACAGGGACCGTCCGGCTCGGGTCCGGCCCACTGGTTGGAGCCCAGGGACTCACCTCACTTTGCAACTGAGGTCAAGAATGGGCATTCCCTAGGGCACGGGCGGCAAGCCTATTTACCCCCTTCCGCCATGACCCTATTCGGAAGTGCCAAATGCAACTTCCGGGCAGGAGAGGGATTTTCGGAGCCCTAAACTATAGTCCATCTACGTATGTGACCAGATGTCTCAGTAAAATAAGGGCCGGGAAACTGGACGTGTAGTCCAGAGTATGAATTAACTTGTCTAACATGGGATGTCTGGTCACCCACGGTACCTCTTTGGGCTTACTTACAGATGCATCCCTTCCCAGACGGCTCAGCTGTTGCCCCGGGTAACGGTGAGACTGGCGAAGGAAAAAAATCTACGTCACCCTGGAAACAGGAAGCCAGGAAACTCCTGTTGCCATTATCAGTTATGGCCGCCTTAGCTTCAACAGTAACTTCCGATCGGAGAGTTGTCACTCTACCCTGCAGGAGGCTTACTCTGTAGCCCGGCTAGCCAGCGGCGCCCAGTGGGCGGGAGACGGCGTAGAGGAACTGAGGAAAGGAAAAGGGCGGAGAGAGAGAAGCAGGCGCCACTGCCCTTCTCTGATTGGGCA